TCGAGGTCAGGGAGGGGCTTGCCCACCTTCCCCCGGGTACCGACCGGGGGGGGTATGGGGCCTCCGCCCTGGACCAGGGGGGGGGCGAAGTGAGGCCCTGTTCCTTCGGTCTGGCGCCGGAAGGCTCAGGCCCAGGAGGCCAGGAGTGCCAGAAAAGAGAATTGGCCTGTTGCTGCCTCCTAGCCCGGTGGGCAGCACGATGTTTTCGGGTGGACTTTTAGAGGAAGTCCTGCTGCACTTTACGCCGCCCACGTGGGCCGTGAGCCATGCTACGAACCCCGCGAGACGGGCTGATGTCAAGGGCCTTGGCCAAGCACAGCACCGGCCTGGCGGGGAATGTGGGTGGGGTGAACCCCGAACCCGTGGAGGCCACAATGCCCCTTGGCAGCACCTCCAAGGTACCACTTGGGGCGGGGGCCTCCTGCTCAGGGTCCAGGGCCCAGCCGGTTGGAAAAAATTTTGGCCCAGAGAGCCTGGCAAAATCCTGGGCGCTCTGGTTGTCCGAACACGTTGGCGTGAGGACTCCCTGCGACGCCAGGGTTGAAGAAAAGGGGGTGGTTGACCCACGACCCCTAATCGAAAGACCGGGCCCAGGCCTCAAGGGACGAGGCTGGTAGGGCGCCCTGAAAACTCGGGCGGGCGCTGACTCCCAACGCAACGCCGTCGGGGTTTTGTGAAAGACTTTGCACCGCGCGCAAAACAGGTGAGTGCTGCCTAGGTCGTGCAGATCACTCTTGCAAAACTTGCAAAAAACTCTACTCTTGTGTGACCCCTGGCCAGGGTAGGGTGGCGGACCACTCCCCCTCGGTAAAAGAGCAAGTTGGTTGCTGGAAAAGGCCTGCAAAACCTCCAAGGACGAATGGAGAAGGGCCTGATTGGGCGGCTGCCCTTGCAAAATCTGCCTGGGGGCCCGTGGCCCCGAAAGGGCCAGGGGGAAGGCAGGGTTCCCCTGGCCTAGGCGCCCCTATTCGGGGTTCTCGCTGCCTGCAGCTTGCTCTGGCTTCGACCCTTCCAAAGGTGTGGGGCGCTTCCCATGCGGATCAGTGCGGGCAGGCCCGTACATGGGGGGCATCTCCCGAGGGAAGTACTCATCATGCCCTCTGAAACTCACGATGAAGGGGTCCGGGGGGAGGTCCTCCTTCCCGACCAGGGCAGCTTTCATCTTGGCGCGGGTGGCTTCATTGAGCTCGTGGCCGGCCTCCGAAAGGACCGCCTCCAGGGCGCTGAAGGCGGTGCTGGTGGAGTCCGCCGTCATCTCTTTGAAAGCCTTGGCCGTCTCCTGGATCTCGACATCCTTGGCCTTGATGTCCTTGTCGACCTGGTCCACGTCCCCAATGAGCTTTTCCAGCTCCTGCTTGAGCTTGTCCGCTCGGGCCTGGAGCTTGGCCTTCTTCTCCACCAGATTCTTCATCTGGTTGGTGGCCTTCTTGAAGTCACTGACACACCTGGTCAGCTTCTCTTGGGGCGTGGGTTCCGGCTGGTCGAGGTCCTCATCTGGTGGAGGGGGGATTCCCGCAGCCTCCAAAAGGGTCTGGACGTGGAGCCCTGCCCCTGCATAGACCACGGCCCTGGCAGCGTTGTACTCCTTCTCGGTCATCCTACCCTTAAGGAGGGACTGGAGGTCCAGTCCTGGCGGGGGTGGCGGTGGCCCTTTCAGCCGAGGTGGGCTGTACCCGACCTCCTGAAAGGCTTTCTGGGCAGCCTCTGGTAGGTCTTTCCAAAGACCCGCGAGTACCGCGCCGACTGGGTTCTTAGAACCCTTTCCCTCTCCTTTTCCTTTGCCTTTGGTGCGACCGTCCTCCCAGACAGCTCGGGGGCTCTGGGAGTTCTCGGTACGGGCTTCCTTGTTTGCTTGCTGCTTGGCCAGCTGCTTTTGCCAGTTTCTGCCGCAGTACGCACAGTGGGTATTTTCCCCTGACTCAACCTGGCGTTTCCAGGCCCAGTGGTACCCACAAGCGCACGGGATCCACTCCCGGCATGGCTGCAAGCTGGTGTGGAAACCACTACCAGAAGTAGTGGCTGCAGGAAACAAGCAAGGAGTGGTGCCCACTTCCAAGCTCGGGAAGTGCACTCGGTAAGAGGAGGATCGACCTCACTCAGACGTGCAGTGAACAGCCTACCGGGCCGCCCACCAAACCCTTGCCTGCTGTCAGGCCTACGACCTTTACCAGGTTGGGTTGGGGCCTCTTTGGAACCTCTAGAAAAGTAGGCCCCAAGGCTTAACGGCCACGGCGGCACTGCAAAGTCTGAGCCGAAATCTTGAGCCAAATGGGATTTTCTTCCCGAGCGTCGGACGATGCGCGCGGCTCCTAGGCCAAACTGTACAAGCTAAGCAAAGCTACGAGTAAAGCTACTGATCTGACAGCCTAGCTACGGAAGCAAAACTACGCAGCCCGAAAGCCGCGAAGTCTTGCTGTTGCACGCAAGCCAGCCAGGCTGGACCACGCAGCTGAGGCATTGGTGGGAGTGACGTATTCAACGGGTCATGCACACAAGCCACCGTATGCCCCTCACAAAGCTCAGTGGGCCTTCACAAGTGCTTGAGGCCTCAAGTTGAAGGCGAGTTCAAGAAAAACCGTCGTCAAAGAGAAGCGAAAGGTAGCCCCGTAGACCAGCAGCAGCAGCCGTCGTACACTTTGTACAACCTAACCTACAGAGCTACCGACGACTGTACACAGCGCAGCAGGAGGTCGTGTGAACACTGAAAGTGCCCACACCACCAGCCTGCAGTGGCCATGATCATATGAACTGACGAGGTGTGTCTTGAAGGCGCCTGGCACAGTAGGCATAGTACATCAAGAATCCAATCATCTTTAGAGGAAGCCTAGACACCAACCAGAGTGGTGTGAACACGCAAGTGCCCTCACCACTGATGCTAACTTTCCTGTTGGGATCTTGAAGCTCGTTTTGGGCCTGAAACCGAAAAAATGGGCCCAGGTCCTTGGGGCTCCTCACAAGGGAATACAGACCTGGGCCCATTTTTCTTGGCTAAGAGCCCTGAGGAAATTTCCCAACCACTGAGGGACATGACATTATAACCATAGGCCACAGCTTAGAGGGTCAAGAAAACCCTATGCAGGGATTCGCAAATGCCACAGTGCTCACAGCACCAGACAAGTCTTACAAGGATCCCCCACAAAAGCTGCCAAGTGGCATATGCTATCGCAATTCCCACAAGCGTGGGAGCATGCTCTAGACTGGCCACAAGCTGGCCTCACGGATCGCTTCAAGTTTTCGGGTGCAGCTTCAAGCGCACACCGGCAGGGTAAAGGACCAAAACGCCAAACTTAAACCACACAAGGGGAAACCGGCCAACTAAACAGCCCAGAACCACAGTAGAAAGAAACCAAACTGAAGACAACCGAAAATGGCCAAATTCCGGAAGCTGCCAGAACAGCGCTCACCTGGAACAATCGCTTCAGGTTTGCTCAGGGCAACCAGGCAGCAAGTGCTGTTGCGGCATTGCACCAACAGTTTGGCGCTCTCAGTATGCGGGCGCAGCCAACAGGCGCACACCGGCTCAGGGTGCAGCCAACAGGGCGCTCACCTGATTGCAATTTAAGATATAGGGTTGAAAAGGCTCGGCATACAGTCGGTGCAGAAAATGGCTGCAGCAGCGAGCGCACACCAGCACGGCAGCACTAAACTACCAACCGTACCTGCCCCAACCCACCCCGCGCAAACCCTAGCCTACGCAAAGGACAGTCGGGTTTGTTTGGAGGAGTCCTTGCACTGGGCTTTGGGTTTACATTTGGGTTTAGCCTTAACCTTGGGACCAGCTTTGGCACGAGGTTCCATAGCCACACCAACGGCTGCCACCTGGGGCTGCCGCCCCTGCAAGGATGCCTCAATCGTGCGGTTTTTGGAGCCCTCAACATTGGCCATCGACCTCGCTTGAGTCTTCGAATTCATCTTACGACCAAGGCCTTTACAAGGAGCCTGCAGCACGGACGAAGTCGAAGTAGCAGCAATCTTAACAATGGCCAAACACTTAGTGCACGTGAAGAAAGAACCCTTATTGGCCATGTCATGAGTCTCATGCACTTGCCAAGCGGATGGCAAACTGGCAGCGATATCAAGGCAGGGGTTGGAAGCCTTGCGATCAAAGACGTCTTGGCTGTTACACTGCTCCAAGTACAAATTGCAAACCGTGCACTGAATGGAAAAATTGTTCACAGCTTTGGACTCACAGTCACGCCAAACATGACCCAAGGCAGGATCAGGGCTTGCAAGCATATCTTTGAGCCGTTGCTTTTTGTTCGGCTTGGAGGCAGTGGGGTTTTTAGGCTTCAAAAACTTATCACCCCCAATAACACGGGAGGAACATGGTTGGGATTGCGATGCTTGGCTGGCGCGCTGCATCACCCAAGGAAAACATTTGTCACTCTTATGCTTAAGAATAAACCCCACTTTTTTAGCGAGATGTAAACAAACATCCTCGCAAAGCCTGTCAATGGCTTTCAAATCCGGCCTGCACGCTGAAGAATAAACCTCGGCGGACCTAGCCCCGCAAAGGGCATCAACGTCCTCGTTGATGAGCCGTCTCCATTCATCAAGGTTGCGCTCAGCGAAATAAGCAGCACTCTTATGACTTGGAACCCAAGTAACATCAGCTCTTGATCTGTCGTCCCAGCACTCACCCCAAGGCACGGGCCCTTCATGGGGAGGCGATTGCTTGGCAACAACATGAGTGACGGCCTTGCAATCCACCGTAACATCAAAGGAACCAGACACCCGACCAAACAACTCAAAAGCCGCCTGCTGCTCGGCTGCCGCAACCGTCAGGGGTTGCACCGGTACGCAGGTGATGCTAGCCACTCGTTTGGGACCTTCAGGCTCCAACCTGTAAGCAGCCAGGGCCCAAGTTACACAAGCCGACCTGTGATCACGAGCTCCCGGGCCCCCTGAAGCATCGGACGCAAAAACCAACGAGTCACTAGGTATGACCTGCCGGTGGCGCCAAAGCCCTTCAAACACATAACCCTCAGCACTCTTATCCCTCAGTAACGCCGTGGCCTCTTGCGGAACCAAACCTCGGAGCCAAAGGCTAGGCCACGGAAACTGCTGGCGGGCCGCACGAAAGTGCTGAGGCGCAGGGAAAGGCTGGGCAATGAAAGGGCAATCCCACAAAACATGTTGCAAATCAAGCGGACAATGACACCTGGTGCACCAACCTTGTTTAGACCTGCTCACTAGGGCACCCTGCCAAAGAGCCTGAAGATTCACAGCCATGTTTTTGTTGAAAAACTTCCTTTTCTGCAGTCTTTCAGGAACAGTGGCATCCAGGCCACCTCTCAAATTTTGGCACCCATCATTCAAGGAGACTCGCTGCAAGCGAACATCTTCCCAAACTGGTAGGAGCCAGTGCCACACACGGCGAGTGGCATCGGGACTAGACCAATCAATGGTCAAGATGCTGCCATCTCTGCTCCAACGGTGAGCCTGCGGAGCCTGCACACCCAACTCGTGCAGGTAGGCCATGAGAGCCGCCAAGGGCCCATTGACCTTTTTCCAAGGATGCTGGGAAGCCATGAGCCATAACCAAATGTCGGCCCAAGTCGACCGAAACTTATCCTGATCACAAGCATCCCAACGGCGAAAGACCCTAGCAACTGCACGTACATGTTGCCGAAGCAGCGTCAGATGAGGGTCCTCACAGCGGCGGCGGTTAAGAATGAAAGTAAGATCCATGCACCCCAGTTTGTGACGCCCTAAATGCTTTGCAACAAGGGTGCGATAAAACTTTCGCCTCTTAGGGCTCACCCCCTGAGCCTGATGGCCCCACAGGCCTGCCGAGCACAGGGATGCGCGAACGATCCGTAAACGGTGTGCTCGCCCCGGCACAGCAAGCTTGTTGAGCTTGCGCGATCGCCCTGCCGCCTTTTTCCTGCGGCTCTCTGCCAAGCCCAGCACCCGCCTGCGTCCACCCGCCGAGGTGATCCCGAGATCACGGTTCATCGGCTTAACCTGCGGATCCGAGGCATCAAGAATTTTGCCAAGAGCTTTGGCAGCCTCAGTGGACGAAGTCACAAAGCAAGTTTTGGAAAGCGAAACCTGGGCCCCTTTGGACTCCAAGTCCTGTCTCAGTCCTCGAAAAAGCTTGAGGCTATCACTAGCAACCTGAAGCGGTGATTTATGAACCGTATCCAAGGACAGATCATCTATCCAGATGTCTAAGTTGGAGGCACTCTTCTTAGAGGCGAGTTTGGCGGCAACCGGGTGTATAACAAGTTTGGACACCGAAGGTGCCGCAGGACATCCTGCCAGGACTCCCCTGCCCGGCCATATAGGCGGGCAGAGGGCGCCTTCGGACTGCACAAACCTGGGACCCATGTAAGTGAGCATGGCCTGGTGCAAAATCAAGGGCGGGTAAGCAAGGGTAAGACCCGAACTAATGACATCATTAAACAAGCATCGGTCATAAAAGGTTTCCATATCAAGAAACAGTGTTATCAGGTGATGCCTGCACCGACGGGTTGTTTCGCCCAACATCAGCCTGGCCAAGGCCACATCCAAAACCTGGCCTCCAGGCAGTGCCTTGTCCCAGTGAGCCCGCCGGGCATACGCAGATTGCCATGCAGACACCAGCGGCCACCTCAATTTTGCCCAAGCCCGATACAAGACATGGAGAAGGGCAATGGGACGTTCCCGTTTTTCAGATTTGGGTAAAAGCGCTATAAGCGCGAAAATCAGCTGATCCGGCCACGCGGCCCGTTTCTCGCAATGGTGCAAAAAGTCAAGAATGGCCTGAACTGCCTCGGCGCTGAGATTACGGAGGACCTCACACGTCCACCCGTCCAAGCCCGGCGCCTTGGAGGGCAATTTCTTAAAGAAGGCAACAGCCTTGTCAAGAGGAATTGGCGCAATGCTATGGGCCTGCTCCACAGCTGCTACCCTGAGCGTCGCAAGAAGGTCCTGGTCCACCCCAGCCGGGTGCGACCACAAGTCAAACCATTGGCGCCACCGCAAGTAAATGCGCTCCTGGACGGGCGCTTCAAGAAACGGCCGAATGGTGATGACCTCCTCTGCCCGCACACTTTTGAACAAGGGACGCATGCCCTTGGACGTGGCCTGACGGAGCCATTTCTCATAAGAGACACTTTTGCTCTGTTGCCACTGCTTAACAAAGTATTGTTTTTGCGCCTTAGCAACATCAAGCAAACCACGGCAAAGATCCTGGCAGCCTTCATCAATAAAAGCCTGAAGCTCAGAATGGAAGGTCAAGGCAGCCTCCTCACTGCCATGCCAGTGATCCGCAAAACAATGCACAGCCCTCTTTGCAAAGGGGCTGACCTGAAAGTGACGGGAGCAAGCTTCAAGCCAAACAATAACCCGATTCCAAAAGGAGACATGGGCGCCTCCCCAACCAGAATCTGGCGCCGTCTGCAACATCAAGGGCTTACGGCAGCACGAAACCCGGGCTCCACGGCCCTGGCAGTCGCCATAAACCGACAGCTCAATATCACGGCTGAGGCTGGCGAAAAGGGAAGAAAGACCCTCATTGGAAACCTCAACCCCCAAAAGGTGCACAGAACTACCATGGCAAGCCGTGGCAGCCTGCTCACCTTGAGCATCATTGGTCAGCCTAAGGTGGAAGGGCTGAGGCCTTAGAGGCATGGGTTTAAAAGGCACAAGCTGGGGTAGCTTAACATCCAGATGCTGAACCTGCAGAGACCAGTGCAGGGCTGCATGGGGAGCAAAAGGAGTGACCCAATCAATCGAAAGCGAAACGGCCGAGGCCAGCGAGGGCGACATCAAGCCATAGTCGATATTGCCACCCCCAGCACATGTGGACTCACCAGAACTGATCCACCGGCCTTTGGCCTCCTGCTCAAGACTGGTGGCAGCAATGACCTCAAAATCTTCGTTGAAATCACCAGCCACAAAAAAGAATCCACGTACCGAACGAAGGAAAGGGATCAAATGTGCAAGGATTGGCGCATTGTGGCTGCCCTGGAAACCTTCACCGGCCTTCAGGTAAACATTCACAAAATAGCAATCGGCATCTTTCAACCTGAGGGCCGCCACCTGAAAACCAGCCCCCGCCCGGACAAAGTGATGCACACGCCTCATGTTCAAGTGCTTGCGAAAACAGATGGCTAGACCACCTGATGTGCCACCTTTGCCGGTGGGATGGGCCGGGACGCTAAAAACATTATAACCATGAAACCCAAGCTGAGCCTCAATCAAGTCAGGCTGGTCTGGCGAAAGATGTGTTTCCTGCAGCAGCAGAACGGCCGCCTTGTGTTGCGCAATCCAAGAGCACAAGTCCTTTCTCCAGGCAGTGATGTTAGCACTGATCACATGCACGTCAGGCCGCACTTTGGGACAGGTCAAATTTGCAAGCGCATCCTCAATTGCCCAACAAGCCACATGCCTAGGCACATCTTCGTGGGTCTCCACTGCTAGCTCAGCAGCCCTCCAAACGAAAGTGCCCTCCTGCATGTAACCATGCTGCTCCATCGCCTCCACAGCCTCAAGCAGGGCTCCTTCCGCACCGGCAATGACAGCCTGCTTAACGGAGAGAAGTGCACGATGTTGGTCATGTTCCCGAGTGCCGCCAACAGGGCGCACATCGGGTGGCATCTCAGGTTTTGCGGACCCCTCTGGCGGCACATTTGGGATCTCAGAACCTCGTTTTGGGCCTGCAACCGAAAAAATGGGCCCAAGTCCTTGGGGCTCCTCACAGGGGAGCATAGACCTGGGCCCATTTTTCTTGGCTAAGAGCCCTGAAGGAAATATCGACTGATGCGGCACCTAGTGTCTTTTGAGCACACTTTACAAGCTCTAGACCTAGCTTTTCAGGATAGAACCCTGAATCTTTTAATTCCACCTGTACATGTTCATGCACTTGGTCACAATCCCTTTTAGGAAACACTTTGACCCAGCGTTTACGGTTCGTGGCAAAGTACCACCGTTTAAACACACAGTCGTACGCACAGCGGTCTACCACAATACCCTCAGACAGCCCCAATTCTGAAGCAACCTGAAGATACCGCGGGTCCTTCCAGAGGTCGTTCTGCAGAGGCCACTCTTGAGTCAACAACAAGCGTTCACTCCGAGCAACCGGTTTCAACAAACCTTCAAGAAGTTCCCAAGCACGCTGATGCAACTTCTTCTTCTCTTCCCACTTCTCTTGACTGTACTTGCGCCACCCGCGGTAACGCAAACGACACCCAGTGGTACAGGGAGTGGAGATATGGCAGTAGATCTTAGTCTTCAAGCCACAACTCAACACAGAAAACAACTCCTTCAGAAAACACTGCGTCTGCTCAGAACAAAAGTCAAGCTTTTCAGTGACGCCCACATAGGCAATCTCAAGCTTCTCACATGCCTTCTGTAAGGCACTTTCTTCCTGGCAGAACAGTTCAACGACCACAAAGGTGACCTGGTTCTTCGCCACAGCTTCACACAGTGAAACGTACTCCTCAGGAACAAAAGAACGGTTTACCGGCTCTTCTGCAGTCAGGCGTTCCAACTCAAACTCACCCAACTCGTCTTCAAAAGAAACCAAACCGGTTACCTCGTAGAGGTTGTCCAGCTGCTCCTGAAACACCATACTCTTGGTCAGGCCGTCGGAGGCATTATATGCTCCGGCCACAAACTCGAGGATCACTCTCCCCGACTGAACCATCTGCTGCAGGAAAGCACACCGCAACTCCAGGTGACGAACCCTTCTCAAGAGTCCCTCCATTGAAGCAATCGCCTTTGCCGACTCAGAATCGGTACAAATCCGGATCCAAAAGCTTCCGGTATCATCCTCAGGCAATCCCTCCAAAAACGACTGTTGAAGCAACCCTGCAAACAAAGCCTCTTTCACAGTCTCTACCAAAGCACTCAATTCAGCCTCGGCACTGCTCAGGGCCACAACCGTCTGTTTACGGCTAAAACTCTTCAGCAGGTTGCACTGCCAGCAGATAATCGCCCCACTCACAGAGGGCAAATTCCAGCTAGCATCACAGAAACAATCGATCACACGCGTACTTTCCGAAGGGCGATAGTTCACCCACTGTGCCGGGATCCGCTGAACCCGATTCCCAAGCGTGAGAATCCAACGCAGCACAGCTCGAATACACGCTTCACTCCTGGAGTCTGGGTTGCTCTGGCTCCGGGCCAGAAAACCTACAACAAACTGCAAATCAGCTCTTGTCAAAGCTAGCCACGACAGTTTGCCCAACACGCGCCGGTAGCGCTGATAGGCCTCATGCGTGATCGGGGTGGATTCCAGACTGGTCCACAAACGCTCAAGCTTGGGGAGTTTCGCTCCCTTCGTGATTTGATACTCTTCCGCACAGCTATGGAGCATCCCGGGTTTGAGTCCGAAGTACAAATCTCCGGTCTTCCTCTGATAGATGTTTCTCCCAAGGAAGGAGATCACCGATTTCTCTCCCGGTTGAAGCGTTCCCGTGCGCTTCATCTTGAACACTTTACTCAGTTCCTCAAACACTTTCTCAGCTACACTCGCAACCGTGCTGAAAACCAAGATGTCATCTACATAGGCCAACACCAACACAATGGCATCCTTGCCTTTCTCCTTGATCACCTTGCGATACACAGTGCTGTCAGCAGTAACAAAGAAACCAAGTTTTCTCAGTGTTTCTCCTAGCTCACGAAACCAAGCCAAAGGCCCAATCCGCAAACCATTCATGGCACGCTTCAGCAGACAATGCACACGTTCACCTGACACTGTCCTACAGTTCTCCGGCAGCTTCACCACCTCAGTAGAAAACAGCTTAGCCTGCATAAAGGCCACAGAAATATCTCCCGAAATCACCTTGCCTCCGAAATGCGCATACATTCCCAACAGACACCTCACAGACTCTAAGGTAGTAGTAGGAGAATAGATGCCATCAGCTAAAGCAGAGGTGGGCCCTTTAAAGTCACGCACAACCAAACGGCAGCGCACACGCTTGTGCCCGTCCTTGTAGTGCAACACCCACCTGGTGGAAAGCACTCTCCTCTTAGCTCCCGCACAAGGCGAAACGCCTCCTTCTCAGACACAACCTGGCACACACCAAAGTGGTCCAGTTCCTCCATTTCAAGACGCATCCCTTCCCCAAGTTTCTTCTCCTCAAGAACCTCCCCAGTATACTCATCAGCAGCCCCAGAAGGAACCTCAACCTTCACCTTGGACCCTCCAAACTTCAAAGTAAACTCCAACTTGGCCGCCCTAGACCCTTTAGCGTCCTTTGCCGCGAACACAACCTCAGGTCTAGAACACATGGAGTACAAAGCATGGTCCTCCAGCCAGCTGATCGCCACCTCCATGGGATCATCATCGTCGGCCGGCTGCATGTCCACATCGTACAAAGGTGGGGCCTCGTTCTCTCCTGCAGGGGGCCCTTCAGGGAGTACCTCTTCCTCCTCAACTGGAGAAGGATCATAGTCCATAAGCTCATCCTCCAAGAGCTCAGCTGGAGCCTCCGGCTCCGCACTCCCCCTCTCAACTAGATTACCCTTAGGCTCTCCAGGCTGAAAGGCTTCGGGGGGCTTCAGGTCTAAGGAAACAGGACGCTCTAAAACGTTGTCTTGCCTAGAAGGGGCACCCGAATCAGCGGCTTGTACCACCAACTCTTCAGGATACAGATAAGGCTGGTCCGGCCGAAAGGCCGACATCACCTCGACCTCATCAGGCCGATCAAGAGGGAGCACACGCACTCCTCCACCATTGGGCTTAGCAGGCCCTAGGTACATACACGGGATGAGGCGGCGGCCTCGATTCTCAGGCTTCTGCTTCGCAGGTTTGGCAAAACCCTTGCACCCAAAAGGAAACGTCTTCGTTACTGGAAGATGTTGGCGTCTCAGCCTTTCAATTGGCGTGGTTTGCGACTTCGAGGTCGCATGCAGGTTCCTTGTCCTAGCAACATATCTCAAAGCTTCCTTGTACAACAAACCACCCAGCCGGAGCTTCTTCTCCAGCGTAGTTTCTAGCGTCAACCAATTCACCCAGAAGGCTTCCTTCAAGTGTCGCACACCTACCTCCACAAGCCCTTTCGACTGCGGCCGTCCTTTCGGCACCGCGTCTATGTGCAACGAGAGGCCTGGGTATGAGCGGTCTTTTCCCACCTTGTTCCAAAGCGAGATCAGAGACCCTTCATTATCCATCCTCAGCACAACATGCTGACCTTGAATACCTGCGGCGGCCAGCTCGGCGTTTATACACCGTGCAACATGCCCTGGATCACCTCCTGTGGGGTAGGGCACAGCGAAACAATATCCGCTAAGCTCGTGCACCACAATGCACACTCTCAGGTCTTTCGTAAAGAACAAGAAGTCGCTTAAGAAGCTTGCTTGCGGAATTGAAGGATCTTTGCGCCTTCGCGCTGGAATCACTCCTCGACTGGACACACACAAAGAACACGAAGGCAGATAGGGCTGATGGCCCCGAGCAACGTGCTCCTGATACTCTTTATCCTCCAGTGGAACATGAAGTTCCCCTTCTTCAGAAATATCCCCAGCATCTTCAGCAGCAGGCTCGGCTTCAACAACCGGTGCTGGAGCTGAGGCTTGGGCGGGTTCCGCCTGCCTTGGTGGATCACCATCCGGAATCAACTCTTCATCGGAAATCGTCACTTCCACCGGAAGTCCACGCATCATGCACAAACGGTGTGGCGGCTCAGACACTTTCTCATCACAGCCACCTTTCACCTTCAAAGGCTCCGACCTTAGGTCATCCCAGCCACAAGCACAACACAACCACAAGCCACGCACACGCTCCAAGCCACAACAGCACAAGTACCGCACCAACCAGCACAAAACACTCCACGGCTTCAGAGGCTCTCGGTGCTTTGCTGGCTCGCGGTGCTTCGGGGGCTCTCGGTGCTTTGCTGGCTCTCGGTGCTTCGGCTTTGGGTGCTTCGGGGACTTTCGGTGCTTTGCTGACTCTCGGTGCCTCGGTGACTTTGGACGTTTTGGGGGCTTGGGCTCTCGGGGCTTCTTGCGCGTACCCTGGCAACACACTCGCACAGAGGGCCCCAAGGCTTTAAGTAGAGCCTGAGCCTTTCTCACAAAACCCTCGCAAAACACTTGCAGCACGTCACTGGGCCTCCAGGCTTCCATGGGGGTCTGGGCCTCACACTCACTTGCAAAACCCTTCCCAAAAACCCGTAAAACCCTATAGCGCTGCAACCTCAGAACTTCACCCTTTCTACCGAGCACACCCGGACACTCACCACACTCAAAGCAACCTACTCTCACAGAAGATCGCTTCCACTTCCTCTTCAGATGCATTCTTTTGCGTCCCGCGGTTGGTCGCGAGGTAGGTCTCAGATAGAGACAGAGCGGGAGCGGGCTCTCTTGGAGCCGCGTCCTTGTTGCGTTGACCCTTGGTCTGGAGGGCCATACGAACCACCGAGTACCCGTTGTGTTGGGCGGATCGGTGCCTTGCTCTTTGGATCGGTCGGCGGGGCTTGCAGCAAAAGCGATCTGTGGTATCCCAGAGGCGGCTGCGGTCCCAGCAAAAACGATCCTTGGTACCCCAACGGCGGGGGCGGTAACGGCGGCAGCGGCACTGCTGGCGCTGCTGGCGCTGGCAAGGCCGGCATAGCCTTCACAGGCACCATCTTCGGAGGCGCCGTCGGCCTCAC